GGGGGGAAAAAAAAATAAAGAAAAAAAAAAAAAAAAATAAAGGAAAGCCACAACTCTAGAAGTCAACTTTCCAAAAAACATATAAATACTGTGATGAACTCTGCTTAAGGCTGCTTTTTTTCCTCCATACATTTTCATATTTAAGGCTGATGATAGAAATAAAGCATCTACATATTGCACGAGAAACTAACATATTAGGGAGGGGAAATGCATTACTAAGATATACAGAACTAAAGTACCAGTGTCCCAGAAACAAAAAAGGACCATAGAAAAGTAAAACTCACACTCTTTCATGCATTTTCCCTCATGAAACATCTGCCATTTTCTAAGCTGTACATGTGCCAGGTAAGACAAAAATTAAGTGGAAAAGAGTTGCTGCTAAGAGGCTAAAAAGCTAAAGTTGAGATTTGGGCATTATCATGATTCCAGAGATCAAATTGGGGTTCAGGGCTTACAAATGGCAGGCATTCCATTGAAAACCTGAAAGTTCAAGGGGAATGGACAAACCAGAATTAGCCAAGTTCAATTGGGTTCAAGTGATTTGATCATGATCTACCTGTCTTCTGGAGAATAGAGATAATCATAAACCAGAGTTTCCTAATTTTTTTATTCATGATGAGTAGCATTCAGCAACAACAAAAACAAAAAAAAAAAACTTACAAAGCATGCTAAAAAACTGACCTAAAATTTTTAAAAGCTAAGAGAAACAACAAAACAGAATCAGACTCAGAGGTGTTCCAGATATTGGAACATTAAGATTAAAAACTCTGTGACTAATATATTTTAAAAGAAAGATTAAAAAAAATGTTAAATTGGAATTTTTTAAAAGAACAACTTAAAAACTAAAGAAATTCAATAACTATAATCTATGGTTCAGTAAATGAGTTCAATAATATATTAGACACAGCAAAAGAGGATTAATGAATAGCGAAGTATAGCAGTAGAAAATATCCACGCTAAAGCTTAGATTTTAAAAAACAAAATGCATTTTAAAATGGAAAATATCATATAAAATTAAAAAATGGAAAAAATGGAAAAGTGAAAACATTAGTATATATGTATATAGTCATATTTACATATTATATATATTCACAGAAGGAAAGAAAATTGAATGTGTCAGAAGCCTCATTTGAATATTAACTGAGATTTTTTTCCAAAGCTACACATTGAAGAGCTATTCAAATGCCAAGTAGCATTTGGAGAAGAAGATGTGGAGCCATTGTCCTCACCATCATACTCAGTCACATCATAGATTAGCTTCTGGGAAAATGAGACCTCCTAAAAGTATTTTAGACCCTAAACGAACAACAATGAAACTGGCCACTGATTTTTCACAAAAAAAAAAAAAAAAAAAGCAAGCCAATACATAATGCATTGGTGCACATAAATGCTGAAGGATGAAAAGTGCCAATTCAGAATTCAATTATCAGCAAATATATCCAACGATGAATCAGATATCTCTCAAACAAACATAAACTGAATCTACCCTGCTGCCCAATGAAACAAAACAAACAGATAAAATTAACAGCAGTTCTTAGAATATTAACCCAAGCATAATGGGACAGTGAACCCTGACAAATCAGAAACAAGCAAGATGAGCTTTATAGTTGACCCATTTTGCTACTTTAAGAAAATTTCCAGGCTGCTGTGGGGAGAGGAAGCTCAGATAAGATCTGTAAAATTCCCTTCTTGAGAGAATAGAGCTAGGAGTACACTGCAGCATAGCAACTCAGTTTTGCAGAGCAGAATGCTAAAGACCTAACTGTGTACCCCATGGAGTATTCTTTTTAGTAATAAGCAACTCATACACTTGAGGAAACAAAGGCTGAGAAGAGAACCACAAGTAACAAACAGAATAATCTCCAGGAGGTCATTGATTGATTATCTTCTAAGAAGGCCTTTAGTGCTATACATTTCCAAATACTGTTTAATATTTAGCTTTAGTATTTCTACACTTTCCTAATTTCAATATTTTGTATTTTAATTTTCATTCGGTACAAAGTATTATCTGTTTTACCTTTTATTTAAGAAACCACCGAACTGTTATACAAAGTGGCTATGCCATTTTGCATTCTTACCAAAAAAGGAGAGTTCCTGTCATTTCATGTCTTCACTAGCATTTCATGTTGTCAGTGTTATATATTTAGGTTCTTCAAATATGTGCATAGTACTATCTCAATTTTATTTAAATTTGCATTTCCCTAATGACATATTAAGTGGAGCATCTTTTCAATGCGTATTTACCATCTGTATTCTTCTTTGGTGAGGGGTCTAGGTCTTTGTTCATTTTTAATTGTTCAGTGTTAAGAGGTCTCTTCACATTTTGGATAACAGTTTTTTTATTAGCTATGTCTTTCTTATTTTCTTCCAATCTGTGACTTATCTTCTCATTCTTTTGACAGTTGTCTTTTATGGAGATGAAATTTTTCATTTTTATTATTTTTTTTCATGGATCATGCATTTGGTTTTATACTTGAAAAATCATCACCATACTCAAGGCCATTGAGATTTTTTTTACTCTGATCTAGTTTTATGCTTTTGGATTTTCTTTTAGGTCTCAGGTGCATTTTGAGTTAATATTATGACCAATATAAGGTCTTAACAACATTTTGAAAAGTTGAATTCAATAGTACATAAAAAGGGTAGTGCATCATGATCATATGAGGTTTATCTCAAGAATATAAGGTTGAATTAGCATTTTAAAATCAATGTAATTCATTATATTAACAGACTAAAGAAAAAATATCTGATTCATCCTAACAAATGTAGAAGAAGCATTTAATAAAGCCTACATCAGTTTCTGATTTAAAAAAAAAAACAATACAAAGAAACTTATTCAATGTCATAAAGGCCATGTATTTTTAAAAAATAAACAGAAAAAACAACCTACAACTACCACTTAATGGTGAAAAATGAAATGCTTTTTCCCTATATTCATTTGGCAAGGATGCCAGCTCTCACTATTGCTATTCAATATTGTATTAAATGTTCTAGTCAATGAAATAAGGCAAGAAAAAAATAAATGAAAAGCCCAGTTTCAAAAGAAGGAGGTAAATTATTCTTTATCCAGACATGAAATTATTATTTTTGTAGAAAGTCTGAAGGAATCTAAAAAAACTGTGTTTATTAAATTTGAAGATACAATATTACTACATGAAAATCTATTATGTTTCTGTGTAATAATAATAAGAAATTACACATTAAAATTTGAAAGCAATAAATACGTTTATAATAACATTGAGAATATATGAAATATTCAGTAACAAGCCTAACAAAGATAGGCAACATCTTTATAATAAAAACTACAAACATTGCTGAAAGAACTTAAGACCTAAATATGTGGAGAAAAATACACTTGCATGGATTGAAACATTCAATATTGCTAAGATATCATTTCTTCCAAAATTGATTAAGACAATCTCAAAATCCCAAGAAGCCTTTCTTTATAGAAATTGAACAAGCTGATTCTAAAGTTCATTTAAAAATTTAAAGCACTTAAAATAGCCAAAACAGCATTAACAATGAACTTAAAAGATGAGGAAATTCCACTATTTGACTTTGCTAATTTTAAAGCTACAATAATCAAGACAGTAATTGTACATGGAAAAATATATGAATGAGAACAGAATAGAGATTCCATAAGTAAATCCATGCATATATATACAACTGATATTTTATAAAATTTAAAGAGAATTGGGTGGAGAAAGGAGACTTTTCAAATAAAAGCAAAAGAAACTGCTCAATACCCTGTGGCTGCATCATAGACCTCAATGTAACATTTAAAACTAAAATATATAGAATCAAACAAAGCTTTTGTGACTTTGTGATAGGTAAAAGATACAATTTTAGGTACAACATTCAAAGCATAAACCACTAAAGGAGAAATAGATGGATTGGACTTCATCCAAAGTAAGAGTTTCTGCTCTTTTAAGATGCTATAAATAGACTCATAAGACAGAAAATATTTGCCAATCATATAAATTTTTGATTGAATTATGTATAGAGAACTCTCATAATGTAATAATACAAAAACAATTCAGTAGGAGGGAGACAAAATTAGTTCAGAAGCTTCACCAAAGGAATATACATTCTAAATAAGTTCATGAAAAGACTCTCAACATCATTAGTCATCAGGAAAATGCAAATCTAAAATAGTGAGGTACTACTATACATTTATTAGAAAGTCTAAAATTAAGAAGACTGAAGACACCAAGTGTTGGCTGAGTATGTGGAGAATAAGGGACACTCATACACACACACACAAACACATACACATACAAGTGTACCTCAGAGATTGTGAGTTTGGTTCCAAATCACTACAATAAAGCTAATTATCACATTAAAGTAAATCATAATTTCTTTGGATCCAGTGCACATAGAAGTTATATTTATACCAAACTATAGTTTATTAAGTGCAATATTATTTTGATAAAAATAATGTATGTACCTTTGTTTTAAAAGATGTCAATGGGGCTGGGGATGTGGCTCAAGCGGTAGCGTGCTTGCCTGGCATGTGTGCAGCCCAGGTTCGATCCTCAGCACCACATACAAACAAAGATGTTGTGTCCCCCGAAAACTAAAAAATAAATATTAAAATTCTCTCTCTCTCTCTCTCTCTCTCTCTCTCTCTCTCTCTCTCTCTCTTTAAAAAAAAATAAAAGATGTCAATGATTGTCTCACCCTTTGAGTTGTATTCCTTTTCCTGGTAGAGAATCTTACTTCACTGTCAGTTGCTGCTGAACGACTAGGGTGGTCATTGCTGATGATTTGCATAACCATTCAATTTCTTAAAATAAGACAACATTGAAGTTTTCCACATTGATATTTTGTTGTGAAAATTTCTTTGTAACATGTAAATGCTGTTTGGTAGCACTTTACTCAGAACTTTCAAAATTGAGTCAGTCTTCTCAAACCCACCACTGTGTATCAACTAAGTTTTTTTTAAAAAAAAAAAAAAATATTTGTTGGCATTTAATGAACCTCCAGAGCTCCATGTGGCTTTAAGCCACCAGAACACAGGCATCCCTAACACCCTTAATCTTCTCCTCATCTCTTCTGCTGAAGAATTTGGCCTTCACAATGACAGCTGCTTTGGGAGCTTTCTGTTTCCCAAAACTTTGTAGTAACCTGATTGCACTACATCAATTATGGGAGCAGCTCCGGTCTTGTAGCAGCATTCACTCATGTCTGTTCACTGACCAACATCCACAATTTATCAAGGTTGACAGTTGGGCAGAAGCTCTGGTTCCTCTTTAAGTGGTAATGCCTCATACCAACTTTCCCAAAGTAACCTGGGTGATATTTGTCAAAGTGAATCCTGTGGTGATGCATGCCACCCGCATTATGTGGCCATGGCCATGGCTCACATGGCCCTGAAGTTTCCAAGTCTTCCTTAGTCTGGATGACATGTCGGCTACCTAGAGGAAATTTTGTAATTTTGTAAATTCTGTATAGTCATTTCAACAAAGTTCACAGCATCTTTACCTGGAGTAGATTTCATTTCAGGAGACCACTTTATTTTCTCATCCACAGGAAGCAACTTCCCATCCACTAAAGTCTTTTCATGAGATCACAACACCTTAATAAAAATGTTCAGACTCCACTTTTAATTCTAGTTCTCTTCCTATTTCTACCACATCTGCAGTTACTTCCTCCACTGATGTCTTGAATCCTTTTGATTCATATATGAGCATTACAGTCAACTTGTTCCAGATTCCTGTTAATGTTGATATTTTGACTTCCTCTCACAAATCATAATTTGCTTGTGTGTGTGTTGCTGAAGATCAAACTCAGGGCCTTGCACATGCTAAACAAGTTCTTTATTACTGAACAACATCCCCAGCCCTCACAAATACTTCTGTGAATCCTTTCCAGAAAGTTTTCAATTCACTTTGCCCAGATTCATCAAAGGAATCACTATGCAGGGCAGTTATAGCCTTATAAAAAGTTATTTCTTAAACAATAAGGCCTCAAAGTTTAAATGATTTTCTGTTCCATGAGCTGCCAAATGAAGGATGTATTAGAAGGCATGAAAATAACATTAATCCCATTGTACATCTTCAGAGATCTTGGTACATTATCAATGAACAGTAATATTTTGAAATAAATCTTTTTCTGAGCATTAGGTTTCAACATTGGGCTTAAAATATTCAGAAAACCATATTATAAACAGATGTGTTGTCATCCAAGCTTTGTTGTTCCATTTATAGAGTACAGGCAGAATAGATTTATTATAATTCTTAAATTCCCTAATATTTTCTAAATCGGAAATGAGCATTGGCTTCAACTTAAGTTACCAGATGCATTAGCCCTTAAAAAGAGAGTCAGCCTGTCCCTTGAAGCTGTGAAGCCAGGCACTGACTTCTCTTTAACTATGAAAGTCCCAAATGATTTCTTATTTCAAAGTAAGGTTGTTTCCTCTGCATTGAATATCTGTCATTTAGTGTGGCCATTTATCTTCATTAATCACCTTAGCTAAATCTTCTGGAAAACTTGCTGGAGCTTCTACATGAGCACTTGCTTCTTCCCCTCGCACTTTTATGTTATAAAGAAAGCTTTTTTTTTCTTTAAATCTTGAGAAACAACTTCTGCTAGATTCAAACTTTATTTTGCAACTTATCACCTCTCTCAGACTTCATAGAATTGAAGAGATATAGGACCTCGTTCTGAATTAGGTTTTGGTTTAAGGGAATATTGTGGCTGATTTGGTCTCTATCCAAACACTAAAACTTTCTCCACATCAGCAATAAGGTTGTTTCACTTTCTGATTGTGTATTCACTAGTATAGCACTTTTAATTTTCTTCAAGAATTTTTCCTTATGTTCATAACTTGGCTATTTGGTGCAAGAAACAGCTTTTCTCCTATCTCATTTTTCAACATACCTTCTTAACTAAGCGTAGATTTGCTTTTGATTTAAAGTAAGAGACATTCAACTCCCCCTTCTGCTTGAAAACTTAGAGGCCATTTTAGGGCTATTAATTGGCCTAGTCTCAATGGTATTGTGTCTCAGGGAATAGGAAGGCCTAAAGAGAGGTAGCGAGACTAAGGTTCAGCTTGTGATACCCTAAAATAATTATAGTAACAACATCACTGATCACAGATTACTATATTGGGTACAATTTAAAAAATTTAAATAGTAAGAGAATTACAAAAGTGTGACACAGAGACATGAGGTAAGCACATGTTGAAAAATTGGCACCAAGATTTGCTCAACACAGGGTTGCAACAAAACTTCAAATAAAAAAAAAACTATGCAAATCACGACAAAACAAGATATGTATATACTGCTTTTGAAATATAAAATGATATGTTGGAATACAAAATTCCAAAACTATTTGGAATAAAATAAAAAGTTAAGCATTACATCTTTTGTATGGCTCAAGCCATTCCACTCCGAGGCATTTATCCAAGAGAACTGTAAACATATGGCCTTACAGTGCCTGTATATGAAAGTTCATAGGAAGAGTATTTCTGTCATCCCCAAGTTGGATAATCTAAAAATACCTTCACAGGTAAGTGAATACACAATAAAAAGAATGAACATTTCATAATGCAACTATTTGGATGAACTTCAATTACGTTGATTTAAAAAATTAAGACAAAAATGAATATATACTGTTTTAGCCAGCTTTTTCAATGCTCTGACTAAAAGACCCAACCAGAACAACTTTAGAGAAGAAAAGTTTATTTAGGGGCTCACAAATTCAGAGGTCTCAATTCATAAGCAGCAGGCTCCATTCCTCGGGGCTCAGAGTGAGACAGGACATCATGGCGGAAGAGTGTATCAGAGGAAACTGGCACACATGATGATCAAGAATCAGAGAGAGAGAATCCTTCTCCAGAAACAAAATATATACCCCATAGTCATGCCCTAATGAACCACTTCCTCCAGCCACACCCCACCCAGTCACCACTTAGTTAATCCCATCAGGCATTAATGCATTGATGAAGTTAAGGCTATAATACAATCATTTCTCCTCCAAACCTTGCATTGTCTCACACATGAACTTTTAGGGGACACCATACATCCAAACCATAATGTATGCTGTATGATTTCATTTGTAAAAATTTTTAGGAAATGTAAACTTATTTGTATTGACTGAGAACGGATGAGTGGTTGCCTGAGAACAGAGAAGGTGCAGAAAGGGATAGGAATGAATTATTATGCAGAACACAAAAGATAATTAGAAAGAGACAATAAATGTAATTCTTGATTGTGGTGATAGTTTCATAAGTGTATACTTATGTCAAAACTTAACAAATTATATGTACTTCTGATATGGGCAGTTTACTATATGTCAACTATATCTCAAATAACTTTTAAAAAATAAGCAATAAATTAATGGCCATTACATCCTAAGATTGCAGTAATCAAATGGAACAAAGATGAAAAGACATTCTATCCAGGATCACCACCAGGTTGCTTGGATCCTAGGTCCTCTACTTTTCTACTGATATGATCCTAAAAAACCTCCTAGTTTGAATCCCTATGCTCTATTCTGATGAAATGTTAGTCACCCAACTTCTATCACTCCTGAAAACATGCTCCTGCTTTTTAAAAATTCATATTTTCTGGAAGGTAAAAGTTATCTCCCTGACCTCAGTTCTCTCCATTTAAAAAAATTTTAACACTTCTTGACAGGGTTGTCTTGAAGGTAAAAGAATGTAATAGAATACCTTGTGTATTAATCAGCTGCATTATTGCTACAACAAAAATATCTGAGGCAACTAACTTATAAAGAGAAAAGGATTATTTAATTCACAGTTTGGGAAGTTTAAAGAGAAGGAACCTATATTGGCTTAGTCTAGTAAGGGTTGTGGATTATAGTGTACATAGGAGCAAATTGATTAAATCTCCAGCCAGGAAGCAGTGAGAGTTCTTGACTGAGACAGGGATCCCACTGCTGCAGTCTGGCTGGGCACAAATAACCGAGCCACCACGAGGCACTTGTAGGTTCAAATAGGAACTCCTTTATTGCCCGAATTCCACCAGCACTCCCTGGGAACTCTCTCCGCCCTCAACTGGGCTCCGCAAGAAATCAACTGGAACTCCTGCAAGAACTCAAAAGTAGCGGGCTCCCAGGCAGCAGCAGCAGTCCTATTGCCAGACAGCAGGGGTCCATATACAACTGATTACACAGCCTGCCCCAATCCAGCATCATCCAGTCACAGCAATTATACACAGCTTAACTTAATTATCATCATCCCAATGGCTCGCTGGTGTCACCTCTCAACCACTCCCTCTGGTAAAATGCCAGGCGCCACCCCGCCACCACTCGGCTGTGGCTCTCAAAATCTCCCCCTTCTGTTTAATTAAACAACAAGCATGTGGCTTAGGGACCGTGCCTGTCTTAGGTTGTCCAATACTACATATGGTCCTTCCCCGTCATCGGATGAGCTGACCTCAAGGTGTCAGCCTCCTGTCTTAGGTTGGAAACATTGCAATTGGATCTTACCCGTCATTGACTACCAGTCCAGCATACAGCCATACTTGTGGATAGGCCTTTGCACCAGTGGGGAGGTGAGGTTCTTTGCTTCACCTCTGTTGGCCCCCAAATTTGGCCTTGGTGCCAGTGGGGGGTGTGGTTCTTAGCCTCACCTCTGTTGGCCCCCAAATTTTAGACCATCACAAGCAGAAGGGAGGGGGATTCAAAATGCCACGACACCAAGCCAAATGACAGTTCCTTTTGGAAAAATTATACCACCGATGACACCATCAGCAAAGGTGCCCCAGCACTACCACAATTCGCTGCACCAACAGATAGTTCACAATGTATACAAATGATACATAGTCCAGGCAAGTTCTTGAAGCAGTTCAAAGCAGAGGAATCATCAATATGTCCATTTCCTCCCAAAGTAAATCAACTCCTTGATTGAGCATCACTTGTTGAGTTATTATTCATTGATGCATCAGTTTATACAGTTTGTTGTAATAGCTATCGTAGAAGCTGTAGATTGGTTTTATCTTTGTCTTCACCGGCATTGGGATGGAGATAGGAATTCTGGCAATGATGGCTAAAAAAAAAAATTATGTAACATTCCAGCAGGCACTAAGAAAACAATTTTCTGAACAATTTACATTATCCTGAACAGAATTATTAAATATAATGAAAAGGAAAGGTGAAAGTAAACAAACAGATCTGTTAACCTCCTTATTTATTCACATATTAAAACAATTCTCAACAGCTGTTTACCCAATTTAAATTAAACCATTTAAATCACGTGAATAAAAAAAATATTTGGATCCATTTTTTCATGAGCGCTCCTCATATATGATATATGGACATATGCACATACAGACATACAACACAAAACACAAGTGTGCACACATAACACAATACATACAACACATAACATAATAGTAAAGGCCTTGTAGCTTTTCACAGGTGAAATCCCCATTGCAATGTT